CCCGAGACCTCTTGTACCAAAGAGATTTATTTGCATGTAAATAAACGTGTTCTTTGCAATATTTCCAAAAAAGTTGAAAGTCCACCCTACGTCCAAAAAGGATGCAAAAGGAGCCGGGGTTATTTACAAAAAAAAAAAAAAAAAAAGCAAATTTCCAGCCAGGTATTTACATCACCACCATTTAGGAAAGAACCATTCATCTTTTAATCTCCATATACTTCACCACCTGAGATTAAAAGGTTTGGCTTTTATTTCGTTTACACCTTTTTATCTTTCCAATACTGAAAGATGTCAAATAATTGTCGAGAATAAGCAAAAATATTTTAAAAATAAAACATTTGTCAGAGACCAAGCATTTACAGGTCAAAACGTCCGTGTCATCGTGTACCTCATCTCCCATCACGGCGACAGAAGCGTCACGCAGCTGGTGCCCAGCTCCGGTCTCTCTCACATGATTTATATCACACGACAGGCAAGGGGGACGGCGCAGCAAAATGGGGCGAAAAGCGTTAAATTGCTGCCCCCACGGTCCGGGACGGAGCCGGGGGGCACTTTGTTCCCTCCGTTTCTGCAGGTGACGGCGCTGCCCGCCTGCCGCAGGAGAAATTTAGGATATTGAACTTTGGTCTTGGGCGAGCAGAGAGGAAACACGCGCAGCTCTTTCCTTACAAATACATTTTTGTGTGAATTACGAAGCCGGACGGTAATTCCTTCCAACTTTTACCGTGTTTCACAGCGATAAAACGTGACTCTGACGAACGAGGCCAGCAAACCGTCCCGTGAAATCCCCAGCCCCGATTCAACTCGAAGAGCGCTTTCTTTTTGAAGGCTGTTTATGCCTTCGCACAACCCCGAATGGATCTGAGGGCTTTTGTAAAACAAAACTTTTAAAAAATTAAAAGAGAGGGGCAGCAGGAAAACTGGTGACGACCTGCTGGCGTCCGAACAGGCGTCATCTCCGAGGCGCAGCCGCCGCAGCAGAGTCTCAAGATAAATTCATCCGGTGTTGTGTTTCTTACATCCTCTTCGCAGACACCCCGCAGTCATATGATTCCGATGCTGCGTAAGATAACGTCATTTGCTCCGGGTTTAGAATTTAGTTACTATTTTTCTATCATTTCGGCGCATGAAGAGGGTGAAGATCGCTGAGGGGGAAGCTACGGTACGCAGACCGCGAGGAGCAAAGGATGAAAGGTGGGAAATACAAGAAGGGAGAATTCTCCGGAGCCTGGAGGGGAAATTTGGAGAAATTCAGGCTCCCGCATTCTGCAGGAGCTCTGGAATTAAGCCAAAGGCAGGAGGAAGAGGTAAAAAATCCCTACGATTAACTGAATAGTCGCCATCCTACTGAAAAGACATCGGCCTCGCTAGAGGCGGGAAGAAAACAGCTCGTCTGGGCTCAGACCGTAAGGACTGGAAATCTCTGTGGTTTAAAAGAAACTGAAATCCTTGACAACTTTTCAGATGACATGCCCAAACGCAAAGTATAATCTCATTCCCACAGGGGAAATTCCAGCCTCCAGGAATCAATAGCAAAATCCAAGGGGAGCAGGATTCTGCTCAGTACATGATTCGAAAGGAGATGTGTTCACAGAACTCTTCCATTTCCCACATTCCTCTTCAGTGAATCAGATTTAACTGCTTTTAAAAATAAAACACTTCTCCTGAGTCTCTTTTCCTTTCAGGGATCACAAGATAAGACCACAGAGGATGCCTGAGTCATGCTCTTAATTCCAGCCAAAAGGGGAAAATCCATCTTTTAAGGAAATCACTGTTTCTGCTGCAACTCTCATCCAGACGAACCAGCGCGGGGCCGTTTGTCTGGCAGTGTCAGTGGACACGGCTGACACACCGCCAGGCCAACACCTCCCAGGGAGAGAAGGGAACGCTTGTCTGCATTACCGCAATTACTATCTGAGAAGCACGCTGCAAGTTAAAAACAAAAAAACTAAAAAACCAAAACAGCAAAAAATCCAGATAAAACCCTGAAGGGCTCAGAAACAGACTGAGAAAACAAGGGCCAGATTTAACCGTGAACGCACACGAATGTTCTATCGACATTAATGGAAGTTTTTCTAGCGGATAAATTAAACATGGCTCTAAAGTGTTCGCAGGATGGGACGTGTGCGGCTTACAGTCCATCATCGCTTTACGAATGCAGCATCAGGGGGTTCCGGGGAAGCTCTGGTTGCTGGGCGCAGCAGGAAGCAACGCTCAGCTGAAGACAGTGGAGTCCCTTTTCAATTTAGATTTGCTCCAACGCACGCCAGAATTTCACCATTTCACCAAAGCTACAGCGGCTGGACGCGTGCAGAGCAGCCCAAATCCACGGGCTCTACCCAAATTTCCCAAGTCCCTTTGGGCTCTGCGTCGTACAATTAAAACGGAGATTGTGTGAGAACAAGGAGCACGAGGCATTCAGATACGGACAGAAATTAATAGCTCAACTGAAAGGGAAGTCAGACAGCAATCCTTCATCACTGTGACCTGGAATAAAAGGCTGATATCCAGCAGAACACAGTGCCCGATCCTGCAGAGCTGCTCGTATCAGAGGAAGATGAAGTTGCTCAGCACCACACTGAATCAGGCATTGAATGAAGAAATGCCCCAAAAATAAATTAAAAAAAATATTTTTTTTTCTTCTGACCACCCATTTAAAAAGAATAAAACCCAACCCTAAGACGCGCCCTAAAATAATCAGTTTAAAAATTTCCTAAAACCAAAAGCAACTTATTCTGAATGGCAAGAGGGGCAGAGGAACTCGGACTCTCCCAGAATATCCTGTGTTTCTGTTTGCACCAGTGTGGGGGCTGCTCCCGCACCTACACACATACTGAACTTTATACCCATTAACTCTGATGGGGTTGTTAATACTCATAAATTAAGAATGGGTGTAAGTGTCCGTGGGATGAAGGCCACAGTCAGGAACGTGGCTTGCCGAAAGGGCTGCTGGCACTCACGCTTTCTGTTCAGACTTTGGAGATCCTTGGAAATACTTTTTTTTTTTTCCTCTTCAAACACACCCCGTAAAAATCAGCGTGGCAGGTTTGCAACGAACGGTTCCTTTCAATCTCTAGAACCCGCATGTCCTCCGTACAGCTCATCTTTTAAAGATACGAAGAAAATTAATTGCCAATTAGAGCAACATCCATTAGATCGTCATCTTCTTCCCCGATCAAAAACTCAGGGCTCGCCCGGGACGGTCGCTCAGCTGAAAGGATAGCGCTGCTCGTCATGGAGAGAGACTGGTCCGCCGAAATTGGGGACTTAGACCAGCTCTCGGGCTTCATGCTGTGAGATTTCTTCTTGTCTCTGTCTTTATCCCGATCCCGATCTCTGTCCCGGTCTTTGTCTTTCACTTTTTTCTTCTCTTTTTTGTGTTTCTTGTGTTTTTCTGAGCTATACTCAGGCAAAGGCCTAATGCCATCATCAGAGCTGGGGCTGTTCTGATAAGATTTCTCTGCTATGGAAGAGCCCGACTCACTCTCGCTGTCTATATTTTGGGGAGTGTATGCTGGTGACTTACTGTGGCTGGGAGAGCAGCGTTCGTGTTTTGGAGTAGAGCCACTGATCAGAGGGGACCCGTAGCTTTTGGAAGAAGCCATCTGAGGCCGTAGGCTATCCCCACCTCCTTCCCCAGGTTTCTGCAGAGTTACTTTGGCTTTAATGCTAGGGGAACCACCATCGTGTTTGCTGATGATAATTTTGGCCACTCCAGTGCTTCCAACGTTTTTGGAATCTGAAGTCTTCTTGGAAGAGTCAACAGATCCTCCAGAAACAGAGACTTTCGATTTATCTTTGTCGCTCTTCTCACGTTTGCCCTGGAACTCACCTCCAGACATATTGTGTTTGGAGGACATAGTATGGCTTGAGGAATTGGAACTCGGGCCCATTTGTCCATCCATTGGGTCCTCTCCACCGGGCCCGCTAGTGACAACCCCGTGTTTAAGTTTGTCTATGACTGCAGTCAGAGATGGCTTCTTGTTTCTGCTCGGAGACTTCCCTTTGGAACTTCCATGCTGGTTTTGAGACGAAGACATGGAAGACCCACTGGACGAAAAGGAAGATGACGATGCTGTCGAAGAATTTGATGAAGGAGGTGGTTTCTGTGACATTGACCCAGATGAGCCCATTCCTGAAGACGATTTCATACTTGAACTTGAGCCCGTCCCAGACATATGGGAGCCTCCAGAACCTGAACTGATAGGTGACTTTGCTTTAGATGATGGGGGAGTACCTGGGACAGGTTTCATGGGAGAAGCAAGCTTGTCAGAACCTCCCGAGGGTCTAGAATGAGATGGGGAGATGTTTGGTTTACTCATGGAAGGGTTCATAAGTGACGATGGCTTTCCTTGAGGTTTCATCTTGGTGCTTCCAGAACCACTGCTGAGGCCGTGTTTGGTGATGGGGGAGGATCCCGGCTTTCCCACCGACTGCGCGGAGCTCTTGGACTGACCTGAACTTGAGCCACCTTGGCTTGAGTAGAGGCTGCTGCTCATCTTTGAGCCAGAAGACCCTTCTGATTTGCTGCTTTTAATTTTGCCTGAGGTTGAAGAGGAAGAAGAAGAGGAGGAGGAGGAAGAATGGCTATGATGGCTTTTGCTGCTGGAGGAGGTGACGGAGCCACTACTCGTATACTGGCCATGCGAAGACGGTTTGCCAACAGTCACTGTTCCTTTTGGGATCTGAATGGTTATTTTGGGAATAGGAGGAGTAGCTACACCAGGAGGAGTCTGCGATCTGCCTGAGCTCCCAGGAGATTTGGACCCACCCGTGCTTGCTGGTGGCGTGAAAGGCCTGTTGGATGAACTGTGAGATGGAGACTTCCCATCTGTCTCCTGCTTCTTCCGCTTTGGAAGTTTCTCCTTACTTTTACCATCACTGGATGGCGTCCGGCTGCGCTTCCCTGCCTTCCCGTCTATTCCGGGACCTGCCATGTTACTCCCAGAACCATTGCCTTCCTTTACCCGTTTCTGAGATTTTTCTTTTCCTAAATCCCCTGTATTCAGTAAAGGGCTCTGACCTCCACTGTGATGCTCCATGATGTCAGAGGACCCCAGTGCTTTGCTTGCAGCTGCAATAATACTAAAATCTACCGTATCGGACTGATTGCTCCCCTTAAACTTATTTTCCCCCCCATCGGTCCCCAAGACTTGCACCCCCAGAGTATTTAGAGCCTGGGATGCATAGCCCTTGAAATCATCAGTGTCTCCACTCTGACTACTCTCATCAAAGTACTCCTCCCCAAAGCCACTTTGACTCTGACTGTTCAGCAAGTCAGGATTGAAATCTACTCCATCTGGAAAAAAATGGTTTGAAGAATCACTGTTGGGGCTCACAGCAGCATCTGCTATCAGGTCTGCTGGATCTGTGTAAGGGTTCTCACTATTGTTTGTCTGAAAAACATCAGGGTCAAAGAGGGCACTTTGTGAATGTCCTGAACTAGAAGAGTCTCTTACAGGAGTACCAATGGGTGGACAGTCCTCATTAGTGGCGGGTAGCTTGGAAGCCTCCTCTGCTATATCCGAAAGGATATCAGTAACATCGGCTCCAATGCTGTCCGAACTAGAAAGTCGAACCATTCTCTGAATACTGGGCTGCGAGTGAGGTATAGGCTGCGGGTATGTAGTAGGAGGAGTGCTGCATTGGCTGGGTGCTGGAGTAATATGAGGGGTGTCCAGGGTATCTGCAGTCATGTTGACATCAAAAATGGGATTCTGGGAGTCAACATCCATTGAAAAGAGCTCCCTCTGGAAATCATCCTCAGTCTGATGCTTGGGCTTGTCGGCCGGCATGCGGGATTTTTTTTTCTTTTGCTTATTCCCCCCAGGGCCCATTTCCATTCTAGGGGAGCCAGAGGAAGAGTTCTGCCTTTCGAGAGGGCTGCTCCCATACAGAGTGGAGAAATCCTGAGGGGGATTCTCTTTAAGAAGGTTCATGAGCATGGGGTGGTTCTTGGTGTTGCTTGCTGGTGAGGATACTGGTGGTGGTGTGTGATGGGGAGGGGTTGGACTTGAGCCAATGGTTGACCCCACATTCCCTGTGATCTGCAACAAACTAGTGAGAATAGGGTTCTGAGACACTTTGCTGAAGTCCTCCCCATGGCCCACCGAGTCATGCCTCTCTTTCATGCTTATGCTCATGTTAAACAAAGTAGTGATGGGCCCCCCAGGAAAAGTGTTTGTTGGGGTAGTGGTACCACTCATTGGGTTGCTGCCTGTGGTCATGCCATACCCTGGGCTGCTGGCTGGGGGAAGATTTTTCTTCACCATATCTTCTACTGTCTCTGCAATGAGGGACAAGGCTGGGGTGTCTGCTTGAATCGTTTCTGCTTTTCTACGAATTGCTCTCATGGTGACAGGAATGGACATACATCTGCAAGACACAAGACAAAGGGTTTAGCGTGCACTGCGTCGCCCTACAGCAACGTTCGCTGAAGACGTGTTAACAACTTCATCAGACGTTAACACAAGCAGCGAGGCTCTTGGGCACAAGAGAGCAACAGGTCCAGGCACTGTAAACACCCTGCTGTTCCACTTGTATTTACACTTATTCCATCATGCTTATCTAGCCATGAGACAACTGTGCCTTTAGGCATCACTTTGCAATCACAAAGGGAGAATTAACCAATCAATTAATGCCAATAACTAATAGCTGACAGACCATGATCTTGCAGTTAAAGGATGCAATCAGGGTTGTTACTCCAATTCTGCCTTTGTCGAAGCTTGGCAAACCTAATTTCCTGCAACCCTGTAAAAATCAATGATAACGTCAAATTCTACTCAAGGATGGCAAGCCTATAATGTTCTGAAAGAAAAACTAGCTATTCTCACTCAAAAGGTCCGTACTGTGTCCTGCTAACATTCTGTTGTGTTCTGAATGGTGGCTGAGATGGAGGAACCTTAATAAAAGGCCTCTGTAAATGACAAACTGCAGGGGAGCTCTTCCACATTTTACAAGATTTAGAACGCAAGCAGCTACGGGAGAAGGCACACGTAGGTAGAGACCTCCGACACGCTGTGGTTCAGCATCAGGAATGGAATTTTCAATAGGGCTCCAAGCTTTCCTCTCATCCAAGCAACCACTACCAAAACTCACCCACAGACAGAACGGCTCCAAAACCGCTGGGATAAACATGAGATAGACACAGAGTTCATCTATGTGATTTGGAGTGCACGGCGGCACAAAAAAATCCAGCTTACCTTTGAACAACTTTGGCAATGAAATCATCTGTACAGATAAGAGCATCAGACAACCCTTTGTACAGCTTACAGTTCACGTGAGTAGAGTCTTGCACATCCATTACCACTAAAACAGAGAAGGCATTTGGAAGAGATCAAAATCCTGGTTACAGCGGAAGAAAACCCTGCCTTCCTTCCCGTGAACACACTTGTGCTTTTACCAAGTCCACTTACCACACACCAGGGAGTCATTCACAGGATGCTGAAAGGATACACTAAAACAGGAGTCAGAGAGAGGACAAACTTCAAACTGCAGGATCCCAGGAGAATCTGAAAGACATGGGAGCTTTTAAATTAGGAAACACGGGAGATGAACCAGAGGCACCAGCTCCATACCCCCATATAGAAGAAAGGAAAATAAAAAAGGGCCTCATTTCTTTTTCCTACACCTGGGAAAATCACCCAAGGTTTCTTATTATCCACACATTATATTCCACTTGATGTGGTACCCACCTTCCTTCAAAACTGTTCGCTTGACACAGCTGCCAATCAGCGTGTTGTACGCCACCTGATGTCTGATCAAATTGAGGATGAGAGGAACCCGCCCAGGGTGCTGGAAGGCGATTTTACTGATCAGAGTTCCTTGAAGGCTTCTTCCATCTGGGAGAGGAGCATCTTTGTTCAGAAAGTAACAGTGCTGCTGTCCTGGAAGAGCCTGACAAACAATTTCTGCTTTACTCCAATTACTGCTGGGTACAAGGCAATAACAGACATATAGGAAGGAAAGAGCAGGCCCCAGATCCAAGTGACACCAAGCCACCTTTTTCTGGCTGAAAATGACAACCAATGACAACACTTTCCTTCCAATCTGAACAAGCAAAACATGATTTTGGCTCCTCAGAAGTAGTACTGCCAAACACTATTCACCATCCCCACTAAAACAGTTTCATAGGGTATGGCATCCCTTCTGAGGAAAAAGAAAAATCCTCTGACGTTAACAGGAGATCTGTCATCGACAAATTTAAGAACTAGAATTTCTCCCAGAGTGATGCGATCCACTCAGCCACACGTTACAGTCAGAAGAAGAGGAAGGGGTAGAACCTGTACAGGCTCAGTCCCATACCCCTGCTGTCATTCCTGCAGCTGCACTTCAACAGCAACGGACTTTTCATTACCTAATTTCCCTAATTACTGTGGCCATGTCGGTATCTGAATTCCAATGCTTGAATAGCATAGTTTTTGCTTATGAATAAACATTGTACCATTTTCCTTTATCCCACTTGAAAGATACCCGAAACAGATGAAAAACCCAAAACTGCTCATCTGCAAGTGTAACACCTTGGTTGTAACAACATACTTACTGCATAGAAGCGCATATTGTGGATTAAAGGTAAAGGATCAGCCTCCTTGGATAATTCAAACTGTGTGATCAACTCGTACAGGGGCACAAACGTGGGCGGTGTGTCGAACAAAGGAATACCTGCAGGAACAGGATGGCACAGAATGATAGCACCTGGGAGCCAGAAAGAGATGGTGGGCCAGAGAAGGCATTACCATCTAGTAAAAGAAACTTATCCAGGTTTTACTGAAAATAACACAAAACCTTGAGCAACTTTAGCAGCAGTTTATGAATAAAAACCTAGGGAGTATCTGCCTGACGGACAGGCAACCCACCTGTGCAGCCCTGAAGTTTTTGAATGAAAGCTCGAGACACCGGAACGGGACGTGGGAATTTCAGGAAGAAACAAGCTGGTAAATCCACACTATTGGCACTGGTGATTGACGAGAAAGACGGAGTTCTGAAATATTGAGTTAACACAAGATCTTGTTACATGCAGGGCATGACCCTGCTTTCTGCTGTGAGCGCCAGACATGCAATTTACTGTTTGCTCAAACAGCAGCGGATTGTTATACCTTCTTAAAATTAAAACACTCCTCAGAAGCATGTCACATGCCTGAAATACATATTTCTTGGCTTAGAGACAGCACGTTAAGTGCTTTATATAATGCTATGACATCATGCAGTCATCTCCCCACTCTGACTTCAACAGAGGACTGAATGTTGAATTCGCATCTAAACAAGGCCACCGAGAAAGGCCTGGCAGACACGTCCTTTGCTTACCCTTTGCTGTCGACTGGGTGAGAGCCCATAATCAACGGTGCAATTGGAAGTTTGTACATTGTCATGGTTCCCTCAACTGTTACCGACACATTCATACCCAAAGAGCGAGGAACTGCAAGAGGAAGCAAGGAAAAAAACCAACCCAACAACATAAGCTGATGAAAAAAACCAAAGCAAGCTTTATGAATTAAATATCACTATGGTGGGAATATCTTACTTCCTCCCCAAGGCAGAGTTTTCAGCGTTCACCTTTATCATTAAATGGACTACAGCCAAGCTAGGTATGCTACCTAATGCTACAGATGTCCATGCACATTCATAAAAAATAATCTTCCAGTAAGATGGCAGCGACTCAAGCATGCCCACATTAAAATAACTTCATGTTAACAATGACATTCACCCTAAGGAAAAAGGCTCTGTCTGCAGACCATCCCCCTTGGTGGCAGCCCAGTTCAAACTCCAGAATAGCTACGGGTTCAAGAAGATGGTCAACCAAGCCAGCATTTACACATGGCCTCATTGAACCCAGGTCCTCTGTAAGTCAACCTGTGATTTTCCTGTATTATAGGGTGACAGCAGAAGGGAGCTACACTGTTGGATTTCAGCTTGCTTCTCTCCTTCAAGCAGTAGTAGTCCACACCAGCTTCTAAAGCTGACCTACCATTGTTCTCATGCAAAATAATGGGGGCTCCAGTGCCATCTTCAAATAAATCATAGGGTGAGACGTAATACTTGAGATTCATCAGAAGCCCTGTGGGAGAGCAGGTCCTCTGTAAGTCAACCTGTGATTTTCCTGTATTATTGGGTGACAGCAGAGGGGAGCTACACTGTTGGGATTTCAGCTTGCTTCTCTCCTTCAAGCAGTAGTAGTCCACACCAGCTTCTAAAGCTGACCTACCATTGTTCTCATGCAAAATAATGGGGGCTCCAGTGCCATCTTCAAATAAATCATAGGGTGAGACGTAATACTTGAGATTCATCAGAAGCCCTGTGGGAGAGAAGCTTTTGAACAGGCATCCTGACGATACAAGTTAGGTCGATCATTATTAACCCCTCTAACCACATGATATTTGCACTGTAACACACCACACACTGTGCAGAGCTGCTAGTGCACTTTGAAAGAGTTGTTCCTTTTACAAGGGACTTTTTACAAGGGCTTGTAGCGATAGGACGAGGGGTAATGGCTTTAAACTGCGGGTGGTGAGGCGCTGGCACAGGTTGCCCAGAGAAGCTGTGGCTGCCCCTGGCTCCCTGGCAGTGTTCAAGGCCAGGTTGGATGGGGCTTTGGGCAACCTGGGCTAGTGGAGGGTGTCCCTGCCCATGGCAGGGGGGTGGAACTGGATGGGCTTTCAGGTCCCTTCTGACCCAAACCATTCCATGATTCTCTACTGTCAAAGACACAGGCGTGGCCATCTGCCATAAAATCACTGTGTGTGGCTTTGTAAAGAAAAGCTGGCTTTCTGGATCACGTGGGACTTACAAAATACTTAACCACCTTGTCCCTCTTTCAGTTTGATTAGCATTTTCCATTACTACCATCAGTGACTGTGAAACTAACGTCCATAAAGGGGACCCTGAACAAAGTAATTTTTATTCTTTTCTTTAAGTGTTAATCAGAGGTACCTCCACTCCTGGGGGTGAGATAGCCAACACTGCCATGAAGAATCTTGTCGAGGGGATTTGCATTGGTGGCTTGCCTGCAAGAGAGGCAATCACAGGTCTGTAACAAGCCAGAGCCATACTCGAAGCCAAAATTCATGTGCTGATGGCAGTCTAAGATTTTAGCTCAATACACACACTTCTCGGTCACACAGAGGTAGCGATCTTAAACTTCACACTGTTATAGGCAAAACAAAAGCTACTTTACTCTCTACAGCACTGATGGTTTATCCATTGAATCTACAGCAGTGAAAGATGGTCAAATGTCTCTCAGTTTCTTACTGTAAAACATGTTACCACTAATCCATCTAGTTACAAACTTTTTTCTTTTTACCTTTTAGTCTTTCTTCCAATTGAATTCTGCAGTTCAAAAGGAATTGCTCAGAAAGCTTGGAACATTTTATATATATATATTA